TGGTAGAGCCAGGAACATAATCCAAGTCTCCTGACTCCTGGATTTGAACTTTAAAACTGGATCATGTTTCCTTTGTGCTTTCAGTCTGTATACTGACCTTTAGGAATTGTATTTACCTACAAGTTCCCAGAAGAGATCTACTTTCCCTTGACATGCTTTCCTGGTATCAATTACACTTTTCTTCTGATGAGTATTTTGAGCATATAGAATACTCAGAGAGAGCAAAAGAAAACAGTGTTTCCTGTGGAGGTGCTGGGGGCCAGCTCTGCTCCCTGGACACTGCATTAATAGGGAATAGGAAGTGGTGGATGTGTGTCCAGCACTCAGTGCTAGTGAAACACTGTTTCTGTAAACACCAATACACATCCTTTCTTCAGGTCTCGGTGCAGAGGAGAGAACGATTGTGCCCACAAGTGCTGAGGATGGAGAGGGATCTGTGCTGGGTACAGTGGGAGGGTGCTGCCCTGAGATTCTCCTTTACATCAGATTATTTCGGTCCCCACACCTTCCAAGAAGCAAAGGACTGTTCCCCTCTTCTCACGTTTCTGTAACGTTAGAGAGGCAACAGATAAAGAAGAAGAAGGATGTCTGAAAACTTCAGAAAATGCCAAGATAAGAAGAAAAAAAGATGATGAGATTGTTTAACTCTGTCATGGTGCAAACCCATGAAGTCTGATTTTCTGAGTCGTGGGGAAGGAGACCTCCATGACCAGACGTCACTAGAACTGGGCTGGCTGAGCTCCAGCTTGCTGACCTGTTTGAAAGCTCAAGTGATTGAAGGCAGGAGCAAAATCATACATTGGAGCCTAGTTCTATGGGACTTCCCAACTTGAGGAAAGCATGGGGGATCCTGTGTCATCCTTAAAGTTGTATGTTTTCATGATCCTTTCTTCTGACAGTTTTGTGCTATTCATACGTGCAGCCCAAAGTAGCCATACTGCTACCCCAGGCTGCCCACCTGCTGCTTGCTCTTTACAGTCTGCAGTGGTGTCTGAATTTTCAAACTTACTGCTTAAAAAAAAAAAATAAGGCTTAGCTCAGTGTCTTGACCTCTGTATCACGACAGAATCATCACAGACATAAAAGAGATGATAGCTTTCAGTGCAGCCTTGGGTAAATACCACAGGAAGCAGCTGAGATATTTGTTTGATGCTTAACTAAGTTATTTTCATTGAAGTGAAGTGGTATCTGGATCAAGCCTTATGGAATCGATGACCAGTGTTCATATATATTTGTTGTATAATTCTGGGGGCATTTTCCAAATTCCCAAGGCAATTTGCATGGAGAGTGATACTGGCTTTCAAGCAAAGTTTCCTAATGACATAAGAGTTATTATAACAGTTCAGCCCTATAGTTCCACAAGTTCTCTGGATAGGGCTTATGTTTTATATTGCTTGGGAAAGGCTTATGGAAGCTGTTTATTGAAAAGGCATCATGCAGAGGCAACATGCAGAAGAAAGAGAATGGAGCCTGCAAATAAACTATCCAGGGCTCTTTAGATCTGCAGGCACGGCTTCATTACTCCCTCCTGACTTTCTCCTCCCTTTATAGCTACTGCAGTGTGGATGACTGCCTTGCAAAAACTCTGAGAGAGCTCGACCATAGAGGCCAGCAAATCAGAGTGGAAGGAAACCTGAGCAAATCAAAATCATGCTCCATGGATGAAGAGAGTTCACCTTATATGGGAACATTATGGGCAAGAATATAAATATGTCCGGCCGAGCTGCTGAGGTCAGATCCCAAACAGATGGAAGATGTTAATATGAAAACAAGAGCATTTAGGAAGAGAAGACAACACTTACTTCTGCTTCACTTATGCAACCTGAGCCTGCTGTTTGTCTCTTTTATAATAAATATGGTGTTATGTGTATGTACACATAGGTCTGACTGTGTTACCCATTTCTTTGTGGCTATTCTAGCACCTAAATGCATCCCAGGTCTGTTTCTGGTTCACACTTGCAGCTTTTTCACTTGTTACTACATAGCAGGATTTTTCTTGCTGCAGGGTCACTAACACCAACTGTAGCAGTACGGAGTGTGGTCAGCAAAAGCCTCAGAGTGACCACTGGTGTCTCAAAAAATTAGCCCTGTTTGTGCAGACTGTGACTTCTTCCTATGTGCTAAAGCATTTAAGACAATACTGACTGCCAAGAAGCCTGCCTGGTCCTGAACGTTTTGTCATGACTACAGCCATAGGTAGCATCTTAGGTGATTTAAAATACTAAAAGATTGTAATAAAAACATTAGATCTGTGTTGTAGGGTTTGTGTATTTTGTGACTCTATGTGAGTCTTCTGTTGCAAGAGAGAGGACCCTGGTCCTTTCAATCTGGGTCTAATGTATTCTGATACCAACTTCTTGTCTTTCAGACTCTGAGCCTGAGATTTACAGGTCTCACCTTGAGAGCTCCACATCTTTACAGCTCCACCTCCTGTGTTTACAGTGTCAGATGATGGCCTCACACCTGCTCCTTGAGCTCCTGGACCAGATGCAAATAGTTGGCTTGCAGCACACTGACCAGCTGTGCCTTGTGCATGGTTCTGTGGAGTAGGAGAGCCTGCAGCCAGGGTATGTGCTGTGTACTGGCTCTGCTGAGAGGAGTGATGACTTTGTCACTCCCTTTTAATCCCATGACCTGATACAAAACCAATCTAAGACCAAATAGGATGGTGTTCCTTGTGATGTGAGATGAGAAACTGGAGATCTCTGCGGCCACTGATGACCCAAAAGCTTACTTTATCATTGCCCTGCACCTTGTGTGGTCATTGCGACCCCTGCGAAGTGGGTGTTGCATGCATCTGCCCAGTCCAGAAGTACATTACGCCTTCTTTGTGCTGCTGCAAAGTGTTGGGTGCTAGAGAGTCAGGCCCAGAAGGGGGTCAGCGTGACACTGGCTTCCAACCATTTAGCCTCATCTCTACAGTTGTCCCAGCGTTACTTCAGACTGGCAAAGTCTGGTAGTACTGAGGAGACATGGTGCCATCAACAGAACGTGACGAGAACAGTGCTGAGCAATCAGCTCTGGAGCTCCAGGGTGAATTTTGGTGCTTTTTCTGTGAGCAAACCAAAAGACGTGACTCTTCAAGCAGTTCTTGATTCCATCAACTGCCGTTCTTTAAAAGGCCTGTGGTACCATTCTCGTACAGGTTTCTGACCGTGCCTTTAAGTGAGGTGGCCTGGGAAGGATGTAGGGCTGAAAGAAGACAGCGCCAGGCAGCTGCAGTTTTCAAAAGCCAGTACCTCGCAGGCAGTGCTAGCAATGGGTGTAACTGGCTGGCTGGAGTGCCTGACTGAGCACAACTCTCCGAAATACACATGCATTCAGAGTGTTACATGTGGATATGTGAAATGTTTCCTTTATATAACTGTTGTTCTGTCTGTTTGGTAAGTGCATGGTGACAGGATGCTGTGTTGTATGTGAGCAAATGTTTCTTGTATTGGGGGTTGTTGGGTTACAACTTGGCTTTCAGTGCTTTGAATTTTGTGGCAACAAACAAGATCATCGATCTGGTGTTAGGCCATTCCTGGAAGATGGATGTGGTTGTGGGAACTTTGTGGTGGGAGCATGGCATAGGATGCTATCTAACAAGGTGGGGTTGCTTGGACAGAGTTAACTAAGCTTCCTCTAAAAAACACCCGTAGTTTTGTTCCTTGCCATGCTGTCTAGTTTTGTTTCTTGTCTGAAAATCCAAAATAACTCCACCAAATAATCTCAGATTTGCACCAGTGTTTCTGAGATTAGAGTCTGCTCTGTAGAATCTCCTATTCAGGGTCAGATGAAATGGCGAGTCACCCCTCGCAGCAGATTTCAAGAACAATAAGGTGTTTTAGGAATATGCAATCACTGATTGCCTCTAAAGGGCAGATTTTCCTCTTTGCTGCCAAACTAGGGCTGTTCTCAGTGATAAGTGTTTGCTGAACAAAATCTGCCGAAGTTCATAAAGTTGGTTTCATTCTCATGGGAGGGCAGCAAGCCAGGACATTGAGCACGCCGATCTCAATCTCACAAAGAATCAAGTCTGCAGGAAATTCAAGTTGCCCTGCTAAGGTACTATACCCACCTACTGCTGCTCAGAGCTGGGTTCCCACTACCAGTTTCCAACAACATGGTTATCCCAAAGCCCTGTTCTCCAGAAGGAAAAGGCTGAAATGCTATTATAATAGATGGTAGAAATAAAGGAACATTGATCATTTGCTTTGTATTTCTGTTCTTCAGGTACTATTTTATCCCCCTCCAGAACAATCTGTTGTTAAACTGAAATGATGCTAGCTCCTATGGCTTGTTTTTCAAAGCAAACCTTTTATATCACTTTTATGTAGTGTGGAAAGTATCTTCTGAACATACAATAGTTTTTCAAAATTGGCAGTGCTTTTATGAGTTAGATGAGCTAGATGACTTTCCTGTTAGCTTAAAAACAGACGCATCCTTCTTCCTTTTGTGAACACATTCAGTCCATGAGCAAGTGAAAATGTTAGGCCAAGGTTTTTGAAGCAATCAGCATGAGGCACAAAAAGAATCACTCTGGAAAGTTAAGGACTAAGTATTTTAAGCTCTCTTAAAAAACCAAAAAACAAAAACCAACAAATGTAGGGAGGACACCACCGTTTGTGACAGAAAAATTCAAAGTCCAGGTACACAGCAACACAGCATGGGTGAAAGTTTTTAGAGCACATCCAGCCCTGTTGCAGTTAATTGGTGTTTCACAAATGACATCTGAAGGGCCAGGATGTCACCTCATGTTGTCTATATAATTTAGGACGGGAAAATAGAAATTCTGTTCTTGAGTGTGTCAATTCAGTTCTGACAAAGCCAAAAGCTGCGAAAGTGAAACCAGGGCAAACTTTGGTCCAGCCAATGCATGTGTGTCACACAAAGAGGCTTTCAGTTACTTGAAAATGTCCATCTGACTTTTATCTTGCAGTACATTTTGTCCAAGAATGATACAAAGAAGCTGATCCATTTTATTCTTATGTGCTTATTTGTCCTTTCTGTTTTATCAGGAGATGGATGAAGTTAGCACCTCAGTTTGCACTAGTGTGAAAAGAGTGGCTTACACAAACAACAGGATCTGGGGTACAGCAGAATACACTATACCAATGCAGGCAAGTCTTAATTTAATGTCAGTCCAGGACTGAACTTCCATTGATACGTCTGGTTGCTTTCCTGACATGTCTCTATCCTACCATTCAATGTGATTACTTTACAGTGGAGAAAGCAATGTTTAAAGCCAGATCTTCCCTTCCTTGCTTAATATAAGGAAAAAAAAATATCCTCTTTTATGAGATTTCTGTGGTGCTTTTTGTTACACAGTTTTTACATAATCAATTTAGTATTTTGGTAGTAGCAAACCTAGGAACAAATTCACTGTACTAAACACAGTAGTGTTATTACCAATTAATGCTAGTGTATCTTTCTTGGTTGTAATGCCAGTTTAAAAAAAAAATCAGTGCCTTCTTGCCTCTGGCTGCTCATTCCTGCCCCGATGATGTCCCTGGCTTTTTCTGTTTGAGCTGGGTAGAATCTGAATATCTATCAGGGGGAGACAGAGCAGGAACAGCCTTGGTGTCCTTCCAGGTAATGTTCTGGAATGACTGAGGTCTGAATCGAGTATGTGAAATTTCAGTCAGATTCATATTCTTTCCTCCGTGTAGGTAACAAACTCTTTTTTTGTGATGACCAACAACATTAAGACAGAGAATCAACTTGAGCAGAGGTGCCCTGAGGTAAATATGTTTTGTGATTTGTACTTGGGATGTATTGAATGCATGCTGATGTAAAAGAGTGGACTATCCTTGGAGCAGTCTGGTACAAGCAAATACTGTTGCTCTTTGTCTGTATCTCAGCAGATAACATGCAAGATTTAGTTCAATTGCTCCTTTTCTTTCTTGGGGAATCATCTGGCAGCTGTGACTTTGCCTCACACCAATGACCTTGCAGCCAAACTTATCTGCCTCACTTTCAGGAGGTGAAGACATTCAGGCCAGTGGTTGCTGTCCAGCTTCTCTGGCGTTGCTGCTGCTCTTGAGGAAAACCTGAAAGAATGATGGAGGTACAGAATTGCTATCAGCTTCTCTGCTAAACTGGTGCTCTTACTCTTACTCTTGCTCATTCCTACCTGTCCCCTTCCTTCCTTTCTGTAGGTCAAACCTGGTTGTCAGCTGCAGCTCTCCTCTTCATTTGGCTGGCCTAGAAATGGGATCTTGCAAAGTACTTCCCAAATACAAGTTGACTTTCACTGGCAAAAGTATATGGGACTGTTAGTAAACAAAGAATTAAATAGTCCAGCATTAAATGTATTGTGCTTGATAGTATAGGAGAGAGTATGAAAAATGGGAAAAGACATAAATAATAAATGAAAACATTATTGTAAGCAAGGAAAGGGCTTTTTCTGTTTTTGCAGGTAGCTAGGCCTTTATCTCCTATAAGCCAAATAATTAGTAAGGGTTATACTTGCTCTGCATTATTATTTTCTCTTATTATTTCATATATAGGTGTGGAGAGGGAGATATTTATGTTGCTCTTTTATGTAATTTTTTTCCCAGTATCCCTTTGGCAAAGCTATCTGCTCTTCAGACAAGTCTTGTGAAAAAGGGAGCGTAGATATCCACAGTCATGGTACATAAATGGCATTTTCAGACTGAAATATTTTTTTGTGGGTACTATCTTCTCTGGCATTATTGACCAGTGCAGCATGTGCAAGATCCAACTTGGAGAATTCTAGTAGAACAGTACAGAATCCTAAGAGATATCTGAGAACATATTTTCAAACCCACAAAGCTGAGTTCTTATCAGCTTGTGTGTGCCCTTACTAAAAGGAGAAACAGTGAGAGGGAGCAGAGGAAGGGGAGATGTGAGGAGTACAGACTGGTGTGAATGAGGGCTGATCTCACAGTCACTCCCATTGAAGTCCGTGGCTGCTTAGCAAGCGCACTGACTGCAGGATCTGTTTGAAGGGTCTGTAACACCCCTATGATGCTTAAGTAGTTTTCAGAATAAGTCAGGGGACTTGTGTCCTTTATTTGGGACCAGTTGTCTAGAAGGCATCATACTATTTTCATCAGCTGTGTGAGTTCTTTGTAGTGCTGAGATTCCCTGAATTTGGGCTGCTGGCTGGATTATCACTTTCCCTGGTAAAGACTGAACACTCACAGAAAATGCTGGCTTTCCAGGAGTGCAGAAAAAATTCAGGTTTCCTGCCCACCTTTATATCCTTTTTTAATGTGCTTATGTTGTTGAACTAAACTTCTGGCCGAAACAGTTGGTTTCTCGATTTATCCCAAGACTCAGATATGTAACTTCATATAAAACTGTGAAGGAAATTACTTCACCCTCAGCCCAAACAATGACAAGCACTGTTGACTCAAGCAAACAGCTAAATAAGGATTGATTAGGTGTGGCAGGACCACAGTTTGGGTACTTCTTCCTACAGCTTCCTCCAATAGAAAGCTGCAACAGTCTGAAATGTCAAGTTCCTCATCTTACATTTGAGGAGGAATCCACTGACATGTTGAAACTGTCTCTAACTGGTGAAAACCTCTTGTCTTTACTGAGTAAGAGCTTGTTTCTCTACAGGAATTCAAACTGGAAGATGCGTGAATTATAATGCAACTGTTAAAACCTGTGAGGTCAGGGCATGGTGCCTGTGGAATCCATGGAAAAGCCCTCTGAGTAAGTGAAAGAGATACCTGCATTTTTATGTTGAAACAAGGATTTACTTTGACAAAGTCCTGAAATTTTAGGATAATCTCTTTGCCTAGGCATATATAGATCTCATGTGTGTAAACCAGCTATTTCCTTCACAGCCATACTATTAGCACTCATAATATCTAAATAACTTACTGCTAGCAATCTGTCCTGCTATATGATTCTGCAGTGAAGTCATAGCCTCCAGTTTGTATCATCATGCAGCTGCCATAGAAACAGTTTTAGATGTCACAGGCTCATCTTGAATTCCCTAGATGCATTTGGCTCATTAATTCAAATGTCAAGGAAAACGCACCAACATAAGATAGGTTTAATCAGTGACAGAAATTAAAAGTTTCCTAACTTGTGGTTTTCTTCTACAAGGCTTAGGGCTCTATGGTGTAGAAGTTCTCAGTGGGTTCATTTATCACAATGAGGTTGCTTCCAACTTCCAGAGCAGAAGGGGTGGATTGGTTGTCTGTACATTGTGCTGTAGGCTAGTGTTTGGAGATCCACCTCAGACTGAAGAACAGTCTCTTCATCCTCTCTAGGTAGATCGTGAAAACCTCAATGCTGGCAATCTGTAATAGTGAGTCAAAGAAAACTCTAGGAAAGAACCTCCACACAACAATGTCACTGTGACCTAGAAAGTAGGACGGAGGGGCCTCATAGCCATCTTTTTTGTAACCCCATGACTGTACAGTGTTCCAAGATGAAAATATTCTATTTCTATTCTGTATCAGCCAAAGCATGAAAAAAATTTTATAGAATATTTTATTTCAAGTAAAATGATGGAAATTATACTCTGAGAGTGCAAATTATAATCAATTTTAGCTCCTCTCAACCAGCTTTGAAATATGTGTGGAAGAATCTAGGTCAATTATCACTTTATTAACTCATTGCTTTTAAAAGATACATGCATGAGTCTATGTATATATCCTATCTTTTCCCTAATTCGGGGCTTTCTGCAGAGACTGAGCAGTTTTTCCACTGCCAAGTCCCCTCTAGAGCCCACAATGCCTGCTACAGCTCCTTCTGCTGAGTTTTTTTCAGCTCTTTAAAGGAATTTCCATTCTCTTCTCCTGCGGACAGGGTTGCAATCTGAAAAAGGCTTTGTCCAAGAACAGGAAGGCTGTAATTGTTCATACAGCATCCGGGAAAGATATGCATGAGCTTCCGGAGTTAATGAAATCCTAGGGGTTTTTTATAAAGTTTCAGTGACTGCCAGTCATTTTTAAATGTCACACTGCGTAGGCTCACTGCTGCATATGTTACAGAGGGAACTTTCCTTTTAATTACATCGCACAGTTGACACATTCTGTCTTGTTTCCTAACCTTCCTCTAAAATGCCCGTAGTTGGTCACTACCAACGACCAAAAATAATGGATGAGAGGTTTGATCCAAACCTCTGATGTATAAAGTTCCTTCACAAATTCCATTGGCAAGGAAAAAATGAGGAATCACTAAAAAGCAAAGCTGAGTGTTTATTTTCTACCAGAACAATACATAAGACAAAGGTCAGAGCTCAGGAAGCTTTGCCATCTGGTTGAGATACTGAGGTAGCAATGTTGGGCTTTGGTTACACCCATGATTGTCTTTATTGTCCAAATTCCTTTGAAAGGTAAGTTTCATGAACTATACAGGAGGCCTCCTTTTCCTTCCCGTTAGTTATGGCAGGAGCTGAACAAAGCCGTTGCATGTTGGCAAGAAGATTCTTTTCTTTTTGATGGTTCATTTCTGCCTGAGGCAGGGCACAGTTGTCAGATTAGCTAGCTGAAGGACAGGAGTTCACAACACCTTTTTCAGAAGAGCTTTGGATCAGATTCCAGATGCTTCCCAATGGATGAATTACGGATTATAGGTTCATTAATTTTTAGTTCTTTAAAAATTAACATACATTATTAATGTCTTGACTATTATACACTGCAACTCATCAGTGACTTTCATGTCCAGGTAGCATCCACAAATATCAATTTGGTTTGCAGTCAAGTCTCATTTGTTGACTTGTTTTAGAAGAGAGTCATGAGAAGTCCCTCATGGAAGCTGCATGTCATCCAGCTAACGTGCTTCTTGTCATCACAGATCTCTGATGCAGAGGCACTGCTCAAAATACAATGATAGGAAAAGTATTCCCTGCTTAGAGGCACTGTCCTTTATGTGGATGACTGCTTTGAAGACTGGTTTTACCCCTTGAAATGGCTGTCTTGATGGAAATTAAAATATTCCTGGCTCATTCTTAAAATGGAACAATGCCAATATTCCAGTTCAGCATAGTCCTTATGGTAGACAAACAACGCTAAAAATTGTATCTCTTGCTTTCCTACAGCCCTGGCAAGTCCTGGAGTGTAGCAGAGATTGTCTCACACAGTCTAGGCCAAGGTTACCCAACTGCCAACTTGTGGGAAAATTCCTTCTTCCCTGCCATTAGCTTCAGAGAAATCACTCTTTTGAGGAAGGGTCAGACTGGCAGCCTGCTTTCCATTGTGTTTGCATTCCACCTACATATTTAGTGACACAAACCACTGCAGGGGAGGTCCTCAAACCAGTATCTGCTAGGAAGGCAGGACAACCTTGATGATGTGATTGACACCTGACTTCTAGAGACATCCTCTAGGATCGAGCGCATGGCTCATTCTCATACTCTTAGTAGCTGTGCAGCTCTGGTGTAAATGGCCACCTACCAGTGGGGACCACCAATGAAACTGCCAATTCATTGTCAAGAAATCATCAGCTGTCAAATGGTATAATTTTTTACTACCATTCTATAGCAACATTTATATGAGAAGTCTCCTGAGATCATATTTCATCTGCATGTAGAGACTCCAGTTAGACTTGGCCCACACAAACAAGTACAACAGAGAAAGAAAAATTTATACCTAAAACTAAGAAAACCATCTATATCTTTCTTGATCTCCTGAGCCACCTAACTCCCTGCATTTCAATCTGTTATTCTTAGCAACATATTCCTCCTCCTGACAGCTTTCCAGGTAATAGTAAAGTAGCATAACATTAACTGATGTATTTAAGTAAAAGAAGTTAGTTAATCTGATATTTCTTTTTTAGGCCTGCTGTTCTGAGGAGTTCTAAAGACTTCACTGTGCTAATAAAGAGCAATGCTCACTTCCCAAAATTTAATTACACCATGTAAGTGCAAACACTCCACAACGCTTTCTGAAGAGTGAGTAGTTGTGCTCTGAAAAAAAGATTGTATAAATTGGCACCTTCTTTAGTCAAAAAGGCTATGCATTCAGGCCTGTATCTGCCTGAGTAACAAATATAAAGTTTCTATAATTCTTTAGCTCTATTAATCCTTCAGGAACCAAGAGAAATAAGGAGAGCTTGGGAACAGAGCCTCCCAGCATAACTCTATTTCTCTCATGCACTGAACAACAGAATTGTTCATCAGATATACTGGTTTATGTTAGGGTAAAATCACCAAAATATAGTATAACAGACATGCAATTCAAATTCTAAGGTGAAAGTGTTTAGTTTACACAGGTAAAATTTTGCTGGTGAGTAAAGAATTCATCTTGATTCCCAGGTCCCAATTAGGGATATATACATCTGCATCTGCTAGCTACAAAACCAAAAGCTCGTATACTTTACAAACTGAGCACATTTAGCACAAGTTCTTGCAAGGGTGAAGTCCCCTACCTGTATCTGTAGCTGCTCCAGCTTGTTTTTATATTTAAACAATTATATGTGTTCTTCACAGACTAAATATTCCACCAGATTTAAATACCTCCTGCATATATAACAAGATAACTTCCCCACTCTGTCCAATTTTCTATCTGGGAGATATCCTTCAGGAAGCAAAAGAGAATTTTTCTGTGGTGGCAGTAAAGGTCTGTGATATCACTTTTTTTTCATGCTCAGTGTTAAAGCATTTTCTTGATTCTCTTCTTGCATGTTTTGCTGTCTGCCATATAACGGTTTAGAAATGGATTGTGTGAGAAGCAAAGTAATCCCAGCTTTCAAGAATTCAATGTGCTTAACATCTCACAGGATGAGACCCATGTTGACAGAGTTGATATTATTTTGTTAGTATTGTAGCATGTAGACACCCTTTTACAAAGCATAGTGCATTTAAATAGGTCCTATACAAGGCTGCCAGTCATGGTCATCTTTTGATTCTACTCAAGCAGATCCTAAATCATGTTGCTGGGGGAATCATCCAAAAGTCAGACTAGCACAAATGGCCGCTTATATTCAGAGTCAAAAAGCATTTATTTTTGCCATTATATTTTCACTCTGTTCTTTAGGGTATTGAGCCAAATGCCCTTAACACAGTACCCAGTCATAGAAAGTTAACATTAACAGATGGGTAGAATAGAGGTAGAGACAAAGTGTCCTGCCCAGAGTCATCAACTGAGCCACATTTATTGATTCTCAGCCTGGCACAGTGCATTCAAGATGAAACATTTGGACTGGGTGCCTACAAAACTTAGGCTTGCACTCAGGCTTTTGGTTTGAGCCTATGCATAGTTTAAAGCAATGAAACGACCGTCACAGTGTGTCAGCTACATCTGCGCTTGTGCTACTGAGATGAAGGGAAAGAGACAGAAGATAGGAAAGACCTGAATGAATGGTAGCTTCTAGCTCACATAACTAAGTCACTTCCATAGAAGACTGCTTGACTGGCAAATGTTACTTATGAGTTAGCATGTCTATAGAGATATGTCCCTGCCAATGGCATCCCTCAAGTCTCTGCTGACTTTAACAGCAGTTTAGCACAGGCAGCAATCACAGTGCTAAGTCCCTAAGCTTGCTCTCTCTATTTCTAGGGAGGAGTCATTGCCATTGAGATTAACTGGGACTGTAACTTGAACAGCTGGTTTTACAACTGCAGTCCAATGTATAGTTTCCACCGCCTTGATGACAAAAAAATAAAACCTGGATTCCGTTTCAGGTCAAAAATGTTATATGAAGCAAGTAGCATGTTTTCTGAGTTGAAGCAAAGATGTGATGAGTTGTGAGGAATGATGATTTGGAATGATGAGACGTTTGATTCTCCTTCTTCACTCTTGTAGTCATGTCCTTAACCTGCAGTTACTGTAGTTGTATAGATGTATCATCACGGTCACCTTCCAAATGAGCATGCTTGTATTGCATTCTGTGTCGAAAGGCCTAGAAATTTCCAATAAGTCTTCTGGGAGCTAACACAGAGAATAGTTTGGGCAGATTCCATCATATGGCAATTGAGGCTTGAAACTACCTAAACTTGTGAGTTTCCCAAGGCAATTAATACAAATAAAATAACAAAGTGGTTTTCTTCCATCTGGGTAACCCCACAGTTTGCTGAATCAAGATTTATTCAAAAGCAAATTAGAGCCTTTGGTTCTGTGTGCATACAGCAGATTTATGAGAAGTTTTGAAAAAAAAATCTTGACATGACTCCAGTTCTAAAGAGTTACACAAAGCATTTATCAAATGCTTATCAGCGTGTTTAAAGTAGTTCCTCAGATTTGGATCAAAACTCTTGTGTAACAACACTTTTTCTCTGACTCACAGCATCATTATTATTACATTATGGGTTTTCATACATTTGTGATGCTAACATGAGTGCTATAACTGTCTAGGAGCTGCCAGCATATTTCAAAGCTGCATTGTGCTGGAGCTGCACAAACAAAGAACAAATAGGTGTTCCCTCTGACCTGGCAATCACAGGCAGGAGTTGGGGAGATCGCAAGGAAAAAGCAAGAGAGTGCTGTGAGGCTGAGGCCAGCAACCTTTCTGTTGAATACATATTTGTAGTCAAAGCAGTTTCTGAGAAGGCTTTTGGAAGAAGACAGTGGAATATTTTGAGGATGTTTAGTGTCAGATTAACAGCTGGGGTCAAAATGCCAAGAATGGGTTTGCCCAAAATTTGTTATCTTTTAAGTGCCAAAGTAGCAGTCTGGAGCAAGATTTTGCTGCAGTTCAGCTGAAATCTCTGCTGCAGCAAGTGAGCCTGGTCTGAGAAGACAGGCTGCTGGGAGAGCGTGCATGATGCCAGACCACATCCTGATGGCCTGACTCTGTATCTGTTAATCAAGGGGTTTATTGGCAAAGAAATGTCATTCCCTAATGTCTTCAAAATTAAAAAAGAGGAGCAGAGTAGTTCAGTGCAGCAATTTAAAAAGCAAAAACAGTGAAAGCTGGAGAGCAGTGAATAGATTGAACATATTATTTAGATTGAACAACTATTTAAAACAAGCATGGATGTTTTGGCGAAGAACATGCACAAACCCTGCCCCACTGTTGAGCTAGTGTATGCCCCCTGTATAAACAGAGCTGCTGATTTCAGTAGAACTGCCCAAGTGAGTAAGGGAGGGAGAGCTAGAACTGATTCTACAGTTAATATATTTCAAGAAAACTTTTTTGACATCAGTGACACATCATAAGAATGTAAAATATCATCATATCAGAGGTCCATCCAGCCCAGTGTCCTAAAGCTGACAAAGATCAAGAGCAGGAGCAAATTTTGGAAAAGAGCATAAGAAACAGGGCACATACAGAATGCTGCTTCCCCTGCAGTCTAGCTGTCCTAGAAGTCAGGAAAGCTACTTTGGGCAGCGTGTAACCTCTGTCTGCATGGAGCCCTATTGATTTCATCTCAGTTCCAAAAGGAATTATGTGATAGACTTAAATGGAAACAGGTTTTACCTTTCCAAAAGAAAAGAACTACTTGAGGTGCAAGGGAGCAAAGCTTCAGCCAGTGATCAAGGAAGCTCTGAACAGGTCAGCTCAGAGCACAAAGCTGTTTTACAGAGAAGGCGGCTTCTATGAGATCAAGAGCAGATGTGAAATAACCTCTACCCTGAGGGCTAGAGAAAACCTCTGATCCTGGAAAGAGTTAGGAAAACTTTCAAATAAAACCTAACTGACCTGCAGGCTTCAGAGGCTAGGAGCTGGACAATAAAATATGTCTTGGCCACAGACTCTGGAACTGTTAGCACAGGAAAAAGGGCATTTCATGTCTGTGCAAGCAAGGAGAAAGTAGAACACATTATAATGTGTTTTTCGGAGTCACTCACTGCCTTCAGAGAATGTAAATCAGATCGTGGTGAATGGGAAGCAAATGATCGCATGATCTAGGGAACTCTGATTAAAAGCATTCTGAAAGTCTGCCAAACTTAGCTTGCAGTAGGATGTGCAGGAGAGAGCGGAATCAAGTAAGAGCTTGCTCTGGGCCGGTTTGTTAGTATCAAGATGGCAAAGCAAAGCAGCAGGGACTGAACCCAACTAGAAAGAAAAGGAGGAAAATTTATATTTCTTTAGATGTCTCTATCATCTGAATGAATACCTGGAGATAGCAGAAAGCAGAGGGCTGAGCTGATGGCATTTACACCAGACAGATCCTCTTTCGGTACTTGAACAGGCAACCAACTATAAAACAAATTTTGATTAGCAATGACACAGTGATCTGTGAGTATCTGCCACCCCTGGAACTGACCTTTTGTTCCTTCAACTAAGCAAATTCCCATTCAAATTATTTATCTAAATGAAGGAGAACAGGACTTAGAGGTTACTCAAGAAAACGAGTCAAAAATAATACAGCACTAAGTCCTAACAGCATGTCTGATGCAGAAGACATGTGGGTATTGTTATCAGAGGTTGGATATTAGTACCACCGTGTGTTTTAGTATGTCTTTCAGTTTAATGTAATGATTTTTTCTGTACTGCCAGCTTTTCATTGTCGGATTTAAAAAGATCTCTGTATTCCATGCTCTGTGACTGCTTATTGATCCATAAGCTGATGTGAGCTGTGCATCAGGAGTGTCATGTTCTTAACAGAGTAAGAAACTGGAAGTTAGCAAAGGCTCATATGATTCTTGCCACTCTGTATTGATGGAAGAATGGAAAATGACTAATATCCAGCATGCTGAAGTGTGCTCAGGAGTTAAGAGTTGGGCTTGGATAACATGATATTAAAGCCTTGAGAGCATGGGCACTCTTGTCGTTGCCAGCTCCTCACATATCCTTGCTGGAGTTTTCTACCTGCTTTACCTGTGACTGAAATTCTTTCTGCAGCTTCAGATTCCAATTTGAATTGAGACAGCAAAACAGTTGTTGGACTTCAGCTGGATTTTTAACTCGTCTTAGTCTCTATATATGTATCAATTTAGTTTAGACTGCCAGGTCAGATGCTGGGCAAAATGCTGTTCATCAGGCTGGTCTCAGCACCATTTCAGAAGGCTGAAAGGGCTGGAAGAAGGAGGGAGAAGAAACTACACCTTCTTTTTGTGTTCTGCAGCCTCAGGGCATTATATCCCCCAGGGAAGCTGCCCAGATCTTCATTTACTCTTTTGCAGATATGCAAAGTACTACAAACTACCACATGGGAAAGAGCAGAGAACTCTTTTCAAAGTCTATGACATACGGTTTGATGTCCTTGTCTTTGGCACAGTAAATGCAATTCTTTTTCCGTGTGGAGGGTGAAGAAAGCTTGCTATTTCCTTAGCCCCACTTCTGCCATATACCCTTCTCCTCTCTCCTGTCCATCATTCTGGGGTGGAAGTCATGTCAGATGAGTAGATCTAAACTGAACTGAGCAGCACAGGAGAGCAAAGCTGAGGATGACATGGCAGGGCTGGGAGAAAGGCAGAATTATTGTTTAAGACTGAAACAGTAACAGGTATCATCATGACATGATGTTATTGTCATGAACCCTGTGTGTCACCACTGTTTCCCTCTCAAGTTGTTTGCTCTCCCCTGCAAAGTGTCTGAGATGGTCTATGAAATTTTGGTATTGATTGAATTGTAAAGAGACAAAGATATACTGTGAAGAGACAAAAACAGAAAAGCCATTAAGTTGAATGAATGGTAACAAATCTTGCCTCCCAGTTATTTTTTCCTGCTTTCTTTAAGGGTAGAAAATTTAACGGCATTGAACTCATTAAAAACATTGGGTCCGCGATCTCCTATTTTGGTTTGGTAAGAGATTTATTTCTGTTGTTAATAAAGCCGGTTCTGGAAATAGATACAGTCTCATTAAGAAAGTGGAATCACTACTAGCTTTTTTTTCATGTGCAGGTTGTGAGTGCCATTGAAATTGTTATTTGCATAGGTAATTGCTCCAGCTGCGGCAAATCACCATTCCACAAAATTTACAACAGGAAAAAGTTGCACACTCATGCCTGTGCAGAATTGCAGGCAGGTAAATAATGTAAATTGCTGCTCTATGGATACAAAAATGCAGCTGATTCAGGAAGCTTCCGTGGAGCTGTGCATGGCACACTACACACAACCGTGGCATGGCAGAGTCACATCAGGTCCATCAGGGAAAACTGCAGGGAATAGTGATCCTTCGAAACAGCAGAAGGATGTCATGAAAGGGCTGTCCATGAAGAGGGCATTGCTCAAAGCCTCTTCCCTGCCAACTTCAGTTGACTCTTCGTCTTTTTCAAGACATTAATGGTTATTTTTCTAGGCTGCCTCTACTAATCCCCCAGCATTTTAGACATGTGTTTTTAAAGAAGAATGGAGCGTACCTAATGGCCCTGCACAACCACAGTTCTACAGTTAGTTCCATACCATCTCTTCCTGTTCCCTTTGTCCCTGCAGCTCCCCATGTCCTTGCTATCCTGGATACTGGAAATACGGGCCCTTGCAACATGCAGTTGCAGGGGATTGTTATTGGAGTACAGACTGTAGAACTCAAGCCCTGAGGTCAGATCTATGCTGTGTTTGTCCCCAGTTCTCCAAGTAACTACTCCAGCTGACAATGTTCATTTCTTCTGCCACACAGGTGATGTATGTGTCCAATGTTGATGAGCCACATGTTACCTTGATAAAGAAGCCTCTGAAAACAAGCTTGCAGCATGCTCAAGGAAGCGCTGTTGAGGTAAAGACAGATACTTAACCTTTGGGATCCTCCCTTCAGAAGGGAGAACCGAGGAATGTCATTCCAAACTGATTTGGGTTTCTGCCATCCCTACTCCCCCATATTTCCAGACCAGATTCTGAGGGGCTAAAACTAGATTCTTATTGTCCGCTGCAAGTTAATAGGTCCTGTGACCAGAGCATGTATTTTCTAGAGTCAGCTAAAAATTGCTGCTTTCCTGTGGTGGGTATGTGCCATCGGGAGCGCGTTGGTGTTGAAACAACTTGTGAGGTGTTGATTCGATTTCACTAGGGTGGGTGTTGGCAACACAGAAAGACAATCCACCTCCAGATCTGCTGATCTATCATCCTTATCGCTATTGTGCTGTGTCAAATGAGAAACCCAATGGTGTGGATCACTGTGGTAAATCCTCTCTGCAGTTGGATGAAGCAGCAAATGCTGTTTTCTTTAATATATCTTGGGAATTGTTGTTGCAGAGCCACCCTGTGAAATTCTGTGATGCTGGCAGCTGCTGCACCAGCGAGTCCGACGACAACCATGATAATGAAGAATCAGAGCCAATGCGCACCAGTGAGTCCAACAAGAACCAAGATAATGAAGAATATGAGCTGGGGCAACCTCTCAGACAAAGGGCCTCTTCCTCAGACTGCCAAAAGTGCTGCGGCTGTGGCAATTGCCAGGCAACACAGCAGTACCATGAGCAGCTTTGCTGCAGAAGGAAAAAAGGGCAGTGCATCACAACCTCCCATTGGTTTCAGCAGCTGGTGCTGTCCAGTCACACCCTGAGGAAAGCCCTTCTCTACAAAGACCCCTTTCTAGACTTTACGGATGGCAATATCAACAACCAGCTGCGTCACCTTGCTTACAAGCAATACATTCACTGGCACTTTGGCTCTTTTGATCTGGAAGACAGCACCATCATCCCAAGCTGCTGCAGGTGGAAAATTAGAGATACTTATCCCAAAGCAGTCAACAACTACACGGTTTTAAGATGGAATGAGGATGTAGCACAACTTGAGCTTACACTGTGACTCACTTTGAACATTTAACATGTGTTTTCTTTCACGGACCCTTTTAAAAAAAAAGAGAAGAAAGCATGCAACTTCCCAAAATCTTCTGTAGTACAGCTGGATTCTTGTATACTGTCTTTGGAGAGGTACAATTGCATTCTGTTTAGCGTAGAGGAACAAATACCTTGAGCTGAAGTGCTTGCATCTGCCTTTGCTTCATTCTGTGAGTCACCCCACATGGTTTCGAAACGTAGACTCTGGGGTTAATTCTTAGGGCTACATTTTAGTGTGAGGTTCCAGGCCTCCTGCCTTTGCACTGGTGCATACCAGAATCCCAGCTGAGTCAGGACACGACCAGCACCCTGAAAATAAGATGGAGCCAAGAGTCATCTCAAAGCATGATCCGTGAAGGAAGGAAGTCCCAAGGAGATATCACTTGAAAATCATGATCCTGAGCATTTTTCTCCCCCAGCCTCACCACCTTTCTGAGCCCTGGATCAGGAGGCTGTAGAAAGAGGCCACTGAGCATGTAGTTTCATAACTTGCCGTTGAAAGCCTCACGGTCCCTCCAGATTAAACAGCTCATTTAAGATGATTTCAGTGACACAGACAAAGCATTTTCTGAAAAGCCCAGCTGTTCTCTTTGTGTTACTCTTTTTAGCTTGAACTCAGGAATTACAATGAAAAGTACTTTTACCCTCTTTGTGTAGTATTTTCGGGCATTTCATTCATACTCATTGAAATTGTAATGTTGGACTTTGGCCTCCTGTTTGCTCTTAGCTTCAAATAGGCCTTGCCTCCTACACCTCCTGCTACTGCACTTGGCACAGTGCAAGTTGCTTTGTGCTGTGGTGCCTAAGGCCAGAGTACAGCCGAGGTGCAGCAGATTCAGGGTAGTTTAATCTGTGCTCCAACACCTTTTCAGTTCTTTCTTTTTGTTATCCTTGGACATGGTCTATTTTTGTAGAAACAAGGTGAGAAGGATTGTAACATGTATATTCTGCACTCCTTTCAACTAAGCTTTGTTCTCTCTGAGCTAACCCAGCAGTTTGCCATTTCTAATTCCCACATGTATTTTAAGATATATTGCTGGCGGATTATGCCAGCTGTGTTTATATCTTCAGTTGTGATATGCATTAATTGTATTAACATTCATATTGCAGCATCTTATACATCTAGAGTGCGAAAATATTACAGATGGCATTAATGCATTCCTGTTCTGACACATGAACCAACTCTCCTTTTGGAAAGAATTACATGAATATTCACTTAAGACTCTGATTTTAATGTCCTTTCACATTTGTACATATGTTCTTCCTCATCCTCTCCTCTCTTTTTTTGGTCCTTTCAGTTTTGACTGTTTTTGTAATAAACAGAGTGGTTTACTAATCTATAGCTGACTTAAAGTCTCTTTAATAGTTTCATCCTGTCTGATATTCCCACTGCCAGTTTGTCAGTTCGCTTCATCTCTTTCTAATGATTTACCTGCTATTACGAGGGTCATGGTGATGGTTCTAAAATAAGCACTGTGTTGGGCAGCTCAGCATCAGGTGGAAGGTACATGAATTAGGTGGTGCTTTTATAGCAAAGATTAATTCTGCAAGATGACAAGTAAAAGATTTGCTCATTGCGGATGGGAGGGTGACAGTCTTAGATACGCTTCTGCTATCTTTTGCAGGCAGGTGCTTCGTCCTTGCCCTGAGCTGGCTGCAAGTTTTGTCTTGGTGTTAGGATTGCCCTTGCTTGAGGTCATCTCTCCAGCCTCTTTGTGAGACTTAGTAGCCCAGACTCAGTGTAGGGCTGACAGCAGCAGACTTCCAGGTAACGGCTGACTCACGTCTGGCCAGTATGGAGGTCAAAACTCCCCATAAACTTGCTAAAAATGAGTAGCATGGGAAAAAAAATCTCCCAGATTTAGCAACTAGGGTGAGAGCATCCTCCTCAGGATGACCCACCACCTCCACTT